AGTGAAGTGAAGTGAAGTGAAGTGAAGTGAAGTGAAGTGAAGTGAAGTGAAGTGAAGTGAAGTGAAGTGAAGTGAGTGAGTGAGTGAGTGAGTGAGTGATTTGTGTGTGTGTGAGATGTGAGAGGAGGCGAGGAGGAGGACGAGGAGGACGAGGAGTCGGGCGGGATGGCAGCCAAAAAACTAGAACCCCACACAGAGATGTGGGGAACAACTTCTATGCAGCATTTACAAGGCGATTCGCATGCCGCGCAAACACTGGTCCTGCAAATCACAATGGCACCAGTGCACAGACACACTTCGCAAACATCCTTCTCGCAGCATTTACAATGCGACTCCGAACCGGCAAGAACCAATACTATGGAAATCACAATGGCAGTAGTGCACAGACACAGTGTGCGCACATCCTGGCCGCAGCCATTACAATGCGATTCGCAGCCTGTCACAACCATTGCTTTGCAAATCACAATGGCAGTAACGCACAGAACCGCAGGGGGCCCAGCGGCGACAACGCGCGCCGCAGCCCCTTCTGGAGGCTCTGGGTACTGCGCCTGCCACTGCAGAGAGCGAGGGGGGCCCAGCGGCGACAACGCGCGCCGCAGCCCCTTCTGGAAGCTCTGGGTACTGCGCCTGCCACTGCAGAGAGCGAGGGGGGCCCAGCGGCGACAACGCGCGCCGCAAACATCCTTCTCGCAGCATTTAGAATGCGACTCCGAACCGGCAAGAACCAATACTATGGAAATCACAATGGCAGTAGTGCATAGACACAGTGTGCGCACATCCTGGCCGCAGCCATTACAATGCGATTCGCAGCCTGTCACAACCATTGCTGTGCAAATCACAATGGAAGTAACGCACAGAACCGCAGGGGGCCCAGCGGCGACAACGCGCGCCGCAGCCCCTTCTGGAGGCTCTGGGTACTGCGCCTGCCACTGCAGAGAGCGAGGGGGGCCCAGCGGCAACAACGCGCGCCGCAGCCCCTTCTGCAGTCTCTGGATGACAGGCTCTGGGAGTGTGAGTGAGTGAGTGAGTGAGTGAGTGAGTGAGCGAGTGAGTGAGTGACTGAGTGAGTGAGTGAGTGAGTGACTGGCTCTGGGAGTGTGAGTGAGTGAGTGAGTGAGCGAGTGAGTGAGTGACTGAGTGAGTGAGTGAGTGAGTGCGTGCGTGCGTGCGTGCGTGCGTGCGTGCGTGCGTGAGTGAGTGAGTGAGTGAGTGAGCGAGTGAGTGACTGAGTGAGTGAGTGACTGAGTCTCTGGAGACTGCTGGGAGTGTGTGAGTGAGTGAGTGAGTGAGTGAGCGAGTGAGTGAGTGACTGACTGAGTGAGTGAGTGAGTGACTGAGTGATGTGGGGAACAAACTTCAATACCTGTCCAAATGTGTACGTGTAGTCCATGCTCCCAAAGGATGAGCTTAGCCTAGCCATGGTCAGACGGACAAATGGACTCAGACTCTTCCTGCACACGAAGTGAGACCCTCAACGGAGGCCTCTGGGTGAGCCAGTGAAATGTTTTTCCGCTGCCCAAAGAGGAATTCCCATGTTTTGCCGAGACAATAAGTTAAGCCCCTCAAAACCAACAGTTCCCATCCATTTTCGAGAAAACACCAGCCAAAAGATATACATGACTCGTGCTCCCTGCACCAAGCTTGATCTCTTCACAGGGCCCCCAAACCTTCCAACAAAACCCCGCTCGGCTCGGCTCGCGCGCACGCTCACGCCGCCAGCCGCGCCCGCTCGCGCCTCGGGGAGAAGTCCTCGACGAGCTCGACGGGTTCCTCGAGCTCCACGGGATACCTGGAAGCCATGGAGGCCACGCGCCATCCCGGCGCGAGGGCCATGGACGCGGCGCAGGAAGGGCAGTGAGGGTGACGTCTGGGGCATCAAAGTAGCCACCACCGCGAGCAAGGCCACCACATGCCACCACCACAAGAAACATCACAAAATGTCCAGTGCTCCAACAAAATATACTCCTTTCTACCAAGGAGAAAATGCAACGAATCTGTCATTTTGAGACATGCTCACATGGAAGTGCACTTCCATGTTAGTGAGCAAGCGTTGATTAAACTCATCTGTTTGGAGACTCCTAAAAGACCCCACGATGATACATTCAGGCTTACCTGCTGCATAATGGACTATGGGCTAGGGTTCTGAACTAATTGATGAACAGTCCACACACACACTCACACTGAACAAACTGTTTTCTCTCAAAAGAAACTCCAATCTGAGGTTACTTCATGGACACCCCTTGACCTCTAAGAATAATCTAAGATGCTAATCCCGAGTTACTATTAATAAACGTACCCCAATTAATAAAAACACATGTGCCCGACCCCAAAAAATTCGTAGTAGCGTTTTGAAATTGCTCCCTTTGAAATTCAATACTCCTGGGTCCACAGTCGGGGGTGCCCCAGATTTTAGGTGTATTAGGGGGACAGCAAAAATAACCCGAATTCCCCCTAATATTAAAAACATCTCCAATCCTCCCCAAAAAATACCTCTCTCCCTCTCTCTCTTCGGCGAGACCGCGAGACCCTGGTTCTCCCTCTCTGTCCCTCTCTGGCATGAACCCTTTTTGGCTTTTTTGATGGTGGTTTTAAAAAAGCCCTTGGATCAAACACCTACCAGCGGTGGGGCGGTCCTAGCTAGGTTTTGATCATGGAAAGTTTGGTCGTTGAGCCGCAAGTGGCCAATCTGGAACAGGATTCACGAACTTCGTTGGTGATCCAGGTCGAATGGATGGATGGGAATGGTTGGATTTTGGGCGAGACTGTCTGCCATCGCCAGAAAGTGTGGATTCAACAAGACTTGAATCTTGATAGGGCAGTGAAGATTACATTTTTGGATTTGATAGTCGCACGAGCTGGCAATATCCCTTCCTTGAAGATGGATCGTATGTCCTTTGCTTTTGTACATCAGGTGCTCACACCGGAATCCCTGGTGCAGGTGGTGGAGACCTGCTCAGGTTTGGGAGCACTTGGTCATGGGGCAGAAGCTGCTGGATTCAAGGTCATGGCTAGAAATGAAGTTAGGCATGAAATCTGTGATTTTTTGGAGAGGCAGGGAGGACCGGTCATCATTCGAGGAGACATTGGTGACACCATCACGGTTGCCACGATCATGAAGCAGGTCCCAACTACAGGTGTTTTGACTGCTGGAGTGTCATGCCAGCCATTCTCACGGTTGGGAGATCGAAGAGGAGGAGCCGATGCCAGAGCTAGTTGCTTACCGAAAGTGCTCAGAGCAGCATTTTGGATGCAAGTGCCCATTGTTGTGCTGGAATGTGTCGCTGAGGTGGTCCGTTTTCCTGCCTTTGACAGATGCATCAAAGCCTTTTGTGAGGCTTCAGGATACCATTACGAATCGGTCCTGCTTGAGTTGGGCGATGTTTGGGTGTCTCGGCGTTGGTGGGGAGTTCTGTCGAAGAAGAATTTGGGACCATTCAAATTGTTTGATTGGAGTGGGATCAAATCAACCCCGAAGATTTCATCGGTTTTGAACAGTTTTGATACAGTTCCACCTGAGCACGCAAAGCAGCTTGCATTGACATTGTATGAGCTTCGATCTATCCAAGAGCTTGGCACCTTGGAGCGCTTCAGCATCCGAATTGATGAGCAGGCACCTACAGCAGTTCATGCTTGGGGTAGTCATTTCCATGGCTGTAGATGTGGTTGTAGAAACACTGGACTGTCATTGGAACGATTGCAAAGAGATGGCATTCATGTCCTCTTGATCCCAGTGGAAGGGTCTACCAAGCATATGGGCATGGAGCTTCCTCACATGAGGTATCCATCGGGTGCGGAGTGTGCTTTACTGAATGGGCTGTCTCCCCACATTGAATGGGGCCAAGATGCACGCCTTGGCTTGTGTTTAGTTGGTCAACTGGCTTCGCCCCTTCAAAGTGCTTGGGTGTTGACACACGTCCGCCAACATCTAGCTCATCGAGGACTAGTGCCACCTAGTGCTGACGGCCCATTGGAAGTTCTGTCGAGGCAGAGGACCCAGCTCATGAATGAGGCAGAAAAAGGTGGTTTCTTTCGCTTTCCAGTTGCGGCAGATGGTCAGGCTGCTCACCTCTCAGGTGATGACACGGGTCTTCCCATGGAAGTTCACACTGCACCTTCCAGTGGGAAGAAGGATGATGGTGAGTTCACTGGAGTGGTGAACGGAGTTGCACACAAGATTCCCTTCAAAGCTGGCTGTCAGATCTGGCATTGGATCCAAGCGGAGATGGCCTTTCATCCTGCGGGGACCAAGTTTGTGTGTGTTGATGGTGATGGCAAACTGGTTGGGTTGCACACTGAACTTCGTGATGATACATGGATCCGGTTGGATATCATGGAGGGCGAAGGGGACATCAAGATTGTCCTTCCGACCAAGATCATTGAGGACCAAAGACCACCATGCATTCTGACTCCCCAGGACGTTGTGCAGATGAGGAGCAATGGGCCCACGCTAGCCCACAAGCTCATGGAGGTGAGTGATCCGGGCCATCCATGGGGCGATGATGAGATTGCCTGGCACCTTGGGCATTTGGCAAGAGAGGCGGACTCCTTTGCTGCGTGGGTGGATCCCTTGGTCACTGCAAGCCATTTGGTCCATGGTACATCTCTTTTCCTTGCTGATGATCAGCCGTTCTTTCGAGTGCAAGGGTGGCTTTTGAGTGTTCCTTTCATTGAAGGCCACTGGATTCCGTTGTTGGGATTTGCTGATGAGGATCATGTGCATTTTTCGGTATGGGACACCACTTCGGAGCATTTTGCACAATTGGAAGGGCTTTATCATCCGCTGGCGAAATTGATTGGGGCTGAGACATTTTCAGTTACCAAATACCTCCGAGGCGCAACAAATTTGCAGAGTTGTCGGCCTGATGCCATCGCGCATTTGCATTTTGCTATGTTGAAATGCATTGCTCCAACACCCCGGTTATTGGAGCACATCTCATCGACTAAGCATTGGGCTTTTGTCCAGCATTTGCAGACCACCCAAAAGTGTCAGGATGCAGTGTTGCGAGGTGCAGGCACTCAATCAGGGCCGTTGGCAAATCAGATTGCTGAACTGTTGATTGAAAAGGGTGTCTCTCAGTCAGATGCAGCACAGAGGGTAGCTACTGCCTTGGATCGAATCGGCCATCAGAAACTACAGCAAGCTATGAAGTCACCTTTCCCATGGAGCCAGTTGAAAGTCTTGGGGAACCAGAGCAACCCACCAATGAGGTGGATTTTGGCACATGAATTGGAAGAGCAGATTCGGATTAAAGCGGCTTCTGGACAGGAGATTGGCAACAGAGGGAAGATCAAGAAGCAGAAGCCATCTTTCCAAAGTGAAGCCGGTTCAGGTGGTCCAGTCAGGCTTTTCTGTACAGGGACTACATTGGTCAGTTCAATCCACTGAAGATCCACCGAGTACAGTCCTTCATTTCAGATCCTCGGAGGCCATCATCACCCCGGTGGGCAGTGATACGGTGCAGGCAAGGCCGGCTCCAACTGTGGTTGCCGCCAAAGGAACGATTGCCAAGCTGCAGCCGACTCAGAGTGCATCCAAGGAGCAAAAGGACATCCTTCAGCTCAATGATCCATGGGCAAGGTTTCAACCGGCTTCCTCCGCGGCTTCCTCAGTGGATGTCTCACAGTTGGTGCAACATGTCCGATCGGAAGTGTTGGCAAAGATTCCCTCCCCAGTTTCCACTGCACCTGGGGTGGATGTCGATATGACCAATGCTCAAACAGAGACACGGATTCTCGCCCTTGAGAAGAAGATGGAAGCCTTGTCAGCCGCCCAAGACCAGCTTCAGGTGTCTACTGCAAAGCAGGCTGCTGCCACTACGAAGCAGTTGGCATCCATCAATACAAAGGTGGATGAACAGAAAAGTGAGCTGAAGGCCATGTTCGATCAGCAGATGAATCAGATTGAGCAACTCTGGTCGAAACGAGCCAGGACGGACTGACTCTACGATGGGCGTTTGATCTTTGTACAGATGAGTGGGTTTTTCTGGACATGCTTGATTGGTTTCTGGCTGGGGTTTGTCAGGATGCTTGCAGGTATGTCCCTCTATTGGGGTGGAGGCCGTCAGAGGTCTCCGAAGGGCTGATCTTTTTTGCTTTCAAGGCAACATTGGATTTGGCTGTTATTGATGGTATGCAGGGTTGGGGAGGCATCCCATCCGGGCCCGGCTGAATGCACTTGGAAGCTGGGGTTGATGAACCCTACAGGCCTACAAGGCAAAGAACTGCTGCTCAACGAGTTAGGCCATGGCATTTTTGGAGTGACGGAGACACATCTGTCCACTTTGGGAATTCAGAAAGTTCGACGAAGCTTGAATTTTGCAAGATCACCGTTGAGTCACCTCATTCATGGACATCCAGCTCAACTTCGTGCTCATTCACAGTTGGTGGGCAAACATGAAGGAGTCGCTTTCCTCACCAGTCATCCAGGGCGAGCACTTCCACAGAATTTTCCAGCACAAGTTTGGCAGACAGCTCGCATACAGGTTGCTGGGTTCTGTGTTGAAGATGTTTGGGTCCAAGGGGGCATCATTTATGGATATGCCTCTCAGATCAATGGTACTGCTCCGAAGATCCTCACTGATCAGATTGCCGACTATGTGATTCAGAGGATCGCTCTTGAGGCGGTCGGTCCCCGATTCATCATGGGGGACTTCAATGCATCCAGAGATGAGTTGCCATGTTTGCAGCACTTGCAATCCCTTGGCTTTCGTGAGATACAAGAGGTCGCTGCGGAAAGGTGGGGGCATGAGGTGCAAATGACCTGTAAAGATCGTACCCAGCCTGATCAGATCTTCTTGTCCCCGGAACTGCAACATTGCCTCCTCGGCATTGAGGTTGTGCCTGATTTGTTTGCTGATCATGCAGTGATTTCCGGTACTTTCAGAGGCATGCGGAGTCAGATTCCCCGGTCTTATTGGAGAACTCCAGTGCCACCTCCAAGGCAGACTGAGTTGGGACAGAAGCCGTTTGTTAGTGCCAGGTGTTCTGGACGGGCAGGGGCCGACCCTTCAGAGCGGTACCAAGCCATTTTTGCACAGTATGAATCTGAACTCCAACACCGAACAGCAATTGCGCAGCATGAACCGTTGCAATCGATTCACCTTGGGCGAGCCATGACTGGTCAGGTGCAAGTGAGATCTGGTCAACTTCCTCCGATGAGGAAGGGAAGGGTTGGGGAGATTGCTCCAGATTATTTTGGACCTTCGCGCCTTCATGCTCAATGGTTTCGACAGTTGCGGAGATTTCAGACATACTATCGACTGATGGATCGAGCGAGTTTGACAGTTCCCCAGATTCACCAACAAAGTGAACTATGGTCTGCCATTCGGCATGCTGCGGGGTTTGGACCAGGGTTCGATCATTGGTGGACTCTACATGGGGCTGGGTTGGAAGGGGCTCCTGCTGTAGTCCCTTTGGCACCACCGGACTATGAGATGGCATATGCATTTTTCGAATGCTTTCGCACCAAAGTCCGGAGCCTGGAACATCACCTGAAGTGGACACGGGTCCGCACGGCCCACCAACGAAGGCTGGAAGATCCCAGTCTCATCTTTCGCGACCTCAAGGAAGAACGGGCTTCCTCCGTTGAGATCTTGATCCAAACTGTCACTAGCAAGGTGGAAGAGGTGGATCTGGAGGACTCGGCTGTCACCCTGCAGATGGACAAAGTGTTCCAAGCAGATACTCCGGTTGTGATTGCTGGTCAGCCACGGGCTGTTATACATTCCACTCCGGATAAACTCTGGCTTGAAGACATTACAGGTGTGACGCCAGGGGCAACGGTGCGTCAAGAGACAGCCACAGGAGACTTGCCTTCGTTGTTCAGGGCTTTTGGCCGTGAGTGGGAGAAGTGGTGGCATCGGAACTCTGACAACAACCCGGGTCAATGGCAGAGGGTTCAAGATGAGATTCTTCCGCTCCTTCCACGGGCATTGATGCAGTATGAGCCTATCACCCTGGGGCAATGGAGACAGGCAGTCCAAACAAAGAAGAAGCGTTCGGCCACTGGTCCTGATGGGATTAGTCGGTTAGACCTACTTCAGTTCCCAGATGGATTGACTCAGGAATTGATTGATCTTTGTCATTTTGCTGAGGAGCGAGGTCACTGGCCCAAGCAAGCGTTGGTTGGGATCATCACAGCCCTGGCCAAAGTTCCTGGAGCAAATACAGTGCAACAGTTCAGACCGATTACTGTCCTGTCAATGGTGTACCGGGTTTGGAGTACAATTCGAGCTCGACAAGCTCTTAGCCATTTGGGCAGTCTGGCAAGTCCCCAAGTCATTGGGAATCTACCAGGCAAAACCGCTGGCCAGGTTTGGTTCGCTTTGCAGAGACGGCTGGAGCAGGCCCAGATCTATGATCATCCGGCAGTTGGCTTGGTGGCGGATTTGGTGAAGGCCTTCAATGTCCTACCCCGTCTCCCAACGTGGATGATTTGCAATGAACTGGGGATCACAGTGGAAGTGATACGGGCCTGGGCAGGTGCAGTTATTCCACTTCAACGGCATTTCAGGGTTAGAGGATCCATTGGACCGCCGGTGGTTGGATGCAATGGTTTTCCTGAGGGAGATCCTTTGTCGTGCGTGGCCATGGCTGCAGTTGCTATTGGTTTTGACCGCTGGATCTTCACACATGCACCTCTGAGTTGTCCTCTGTCCTATGTTGACAACTGGGAAATCACAGCAACATCCCCCAGGGATCTTCAGATGGCTTTGGCTGAGTTCCGGGATTTCACTGAGATCATGGCGTTGGAAGTGGATTGGAACAAAACGTATGTTTGGGCCACTCATAGTCATCACAGGCAGCAGTTGAAACAACTCCAATTGCCATTGCAATACTGGGCCAGGGACTTGGGAGGTTGTGTCTTTTATGGAAGACGACATACTACAGGCCTGCAAGCAGCAAGATTTGATGCCAGAAGATGCGGGCGGTGAGTACAGCGGCTTGGCCTAGAGCACTACACGCTTGCGCATCGGTCAGGATCCTGGAGCAGCAGTTTGTTTCGTTGAGAGCTGGTGCGGTGAGGGGACTCAACCTCGACAAGCCTGGCACTAACTCCTTATTGCTGCTGGGGATGCATTTCCACCCGATTCATGACCCGGAATTCTTTGCTTTTTGGCACACTCTTCTGGATTTCAGACGACTTCAGAATGAGCAGGCTGTTCAAATTGATTTGCATTGGATTCTCACTCAACAGGAAGGGAAATTTCCCCCGGGTCCACTGTGGGTTCTCTTCATGGGTTGCCTTCGCATCCAATGGAGTTGGGATGTGTCACGTGGATTGCTGGTGGACCGCATAGGGGCATTTAGCTTGTGGCGCATTTCTCTCAAAGAACTCGAGTTCCGGGTTATCTATGCCTGGCAAACATTGGTGGGGACTTTGAGCCAATCGAGAAAGGGGTTTGCGGGAATGAGCCTGGTGGACCCTCAATTGTCACAAGGCTCCAATTTGCCCTTGACGGATGTTCAACGTGGTTTGTTGCGTACAGCCCATGATGGCACTTTCTTCACCCAGGATGGCCTCAAGTACTCCTCCCAGGACGGGGATGACAAGTGCATCCACTGCGGTGCACCAGATAGCATTGAGCATCGCATTTGGCATTGTTCCACCTTCAACCATGTACGTGCTCATCTTGCACCGGTTCGACCCTCACAGGTTGATTCGTTGCCTGATTGTACAAGATTGCATTGTTGGATTCAAGCACCCCCTGACCAGCTGACTTTCTATCAGCAGCTTGCTCAGATTCCAGATGTCTCTCATCAGTTGGAAACACCAGGTGGTGAGGGAGTGTTGGACTTGTTCACGGATGGTAGTTGCCTTTTTCCACAATTCCCGCGTCTGCAGATTCGGCTTGGGCTGTCATTCAAGGGTCCGCAGCCGATGATGGTGGTTGGTCAGAATGTCTGGCTGGGGGGGCACTCCATGGCTTGTGGCAAAACAGTGGTCGTGCTGAACTGGTGGCAGTCTTGGCAGCGATTCGGCTTGGAGTTCGCACGGGCCGTCAAACACGCATCTGGTCAGACTGTGACAATGTCGTTAAGAAGGTGAAGCTCTTGCTGGCAACCCCCGCCCTGGGGCGCCCAAATGCCCATGATGCAGATTTGTGGGAACAAATTGGGCTTGAACTGCGACGTGAGCACAACATCACAGTCCACAAAGTAGCTGCGCATACAGGTCCTTCTGTGGTTGGCCCGGTGGAGGACTGGGCACGGAACCTCAATGACAGGGCCGACTTCCAGGCCAAGCAGTTTAATTATGAGAGGTCACCTGAATTTTGGCGAGTTTGGAACAGTTTACTTTCTCAATTGCAGGAAGCCGAAACAGTCAGCAACTATGTTGTGCAACTTCACTGCAGTATTGGGGAAGAGTCTCTTCGACTTCGACCTCAGGTAGGTGGTCCGCGGATGCGTGCCGTCCTCACAGAAGCACGCTTGCCTTTGGCCCAGTGTGTGCAATGCTCACAGGACAACCCCATGCCGGACGTACTGTTGAGTGTCTTTGGTTCCCTTCAGGCTCAACGTCTTTGGAAATGGCTCCAACAAGTCTGCACAGGACATGTTTGGGGGAGTTGGGTCTCCCCGGCCCAGCTGTAAGTGGATTATCAGATGGCATTTGGAAAGGTGGGCCCTTGTTTCCATTCTCCTTCACGCCGCTGGAGTGATCCCAACCTTCCTGGACTGGAGAGACTTCGAGGACATGAATTCACTACACAGGTGAAATGGTTTAGCAAAGCTCTTCGATTGTTGTTATCTCATCTACAGGCGCCTCGGTTGTTTCAGCTACAGCGGCCGGGCTCTGTCATTTTGTCCCACTGGTGCCAGTGCTTGCCAGTTGCTTGGTCTCCTGTACGCAGGGACATTGTTGATGAGTGGTTGCAACGACATTTGCCTGGTGGGGTGACCAAGAGAAGAGCAGCTGGACTCACTTGTTTGCCGGCCGCGGGGGGCGATCCCCGGATGGCCATGGAGGTGGACGATCGCCAGAGATCGGTGCTTTTGAGTTGGAGGTCAGCATGACCCAGCTCCTTCTCACTGGTGAGGCCGCAAAAAGCCGCCTCTTCAGAGCTAAGTGAAAAGTGAAAAGTGGTGGTTTTAAAAAGGATTTAATATAGTTTGGAACCCATGCCTTTTCCATGTTGTCTCCTTTCCAAGATCCATTCTTGCTGTTTTGTGGCCCCCTAATACTAAGCAGGAGTCTGTGCCAATGCTCCTAATTAATTTTGCTTTCCTGGTTGCGCTATCCATTGCTCTTTGCAGCGATGTGTTTTCATTAATTGGGTGCATCAACAGTTGGTCTAGGAAACCAACAAGAGGGGGAAGACCTTCGATTTGACCCTTTGTTGTTTTTTTGATGGTCGTTTTAACAAGGATTTTATATAATTAATTAGATTGGGAACCCAGGGATTTTCTTTCGAGACCCTACTTTTTATTAGGGCGAACAGAACATTGCCCATTTGGGGGTACAACAGGTGCCCCTCAATAATAAACACCCCCCTATTAGTAAAAACACACCAGGGTTTTTATTAATAGGGGGGGGGGGCGTTTATTATTAGGGAGAGGGGATTATGAATATATATATAGATATATATTTTTATAGACACCCATATGACCTCTGAATTGATAGGGGAAAAAACACATGTTGGACTCCAAAACAGGGGATCCCTCGGCTTCTAGGTCTATGTGGTACATTGACACCCCAAGCGGCCCCGCTCCGCGCTCACTCCCCGCGTCGCCCACTCCCTCGGGTGTCCCCGCTCAGAGTGCCCGCGGGAGCCGTGGAGGGGCCGCCGCTCCGCGGGCCCCGCTCCGCGGCCGTCGAACCACTCGTTGTGCCGGTGCCTGCCACACGGGCCGCGCGCGCTAGCGGGGAAACGGCTAAACGGGCGGCCCAGCAACGGGAGGGTAGGAGATCGAAGGGAGGTCGAAGTGGGTTCCCAGGTTCTAGGTCAATGGATTCTCGCCAGAGAAGTCGATAAAGAAAAACATGTGTGAACTCAGCGGCTTTTGTGTGTGTGAGTGTCTGTGTGTGTGTGTTGTTAGGTGTCTGTTTGATACCTTCCGAGGATTTGCAAAACTCAGTGTCATCAGTGTCCCACCACTTCAAGGACTGAACTTGTGACTCCCAGATCTCCCGTACAAGGACTAGTCCTGTGCCCGTACCTGAAAGCCCAGTCCCGAATGACGGAAGACGCTTGACGCTCCCGAAAGAACCACCGACGGTTGTGTAAAGGATATGGCTGTGGGTCATGGCACCAGGCTACCACCAAACATGAACCACCAGGCTACCATTGCCATATGAACATCAATAGAATACTATAGTCCACCTGAACAGGATCTTCCAGACATCCCCACAGCCATATCAGTTTATTGAAACAAGCTAGCTGGTTTCTAGTAGTCGTTTGAAGCTTCCAGGTGTGGGTGTCTTGAATCTTGAACATAGGAAGACCCGTTTGAGGAAGAGCGTTTCAAGAAGAAGGAGAAGGACTACGTATAGAAGGACAATGGACCATCAAACCCGTTGGTTTTGCGTGGGCCGCTTAAAATGCAGACTCCAATGTACTATGTCTGGCTTAGAATACATTCGTTCAATTTGTTTTTTCACGCAGGAGTGCTCTTTGGGTAGTTCAGAACTGCCACTCTTGTACACGAGCAAGGGAGGGGTATTTCATGTGCAGGGATGGGAACACTTGGCCCAGCTCTTGGCCCCTGCCAATGGTCTCAACAGCTCTTGCGGGCCTCGGTTTTGACCTGTCGCAACCCGGACGGGCTCCGACGGACGACGCAGTACGCAGTGCTTCGTTCACGGTCCAATGCAGGCGTGGGGCAATGCCGGCGAGCTCTTTTCACCTGGGCCAGGCCATGCCGGTGATACTAATTCAGAAGCCCTCCCGATGTTATTTACAACAAGAATACGTAGCAGAGCTGCAAACAGATGCACAAAACGATGCAAACGTCCGGGACCACAGACGCCACCCAAGTCAAGGACATGCCCACGTCACTCCGAGTGATTGCACTCGATCCAGACCGATCAAATGGTCGACAGGACCCATCAGACCGAGATCTCAAACCCTCGGATGACTTGTCTTGTCCGTCCTGTACCCAGGACACCTGGACCCAGGACCTGGACCAATGTGGCCCGAGATAGAAAAATCACTTGGCTCGTCCCGGGATCTTTGGTCTTGGATCATACCCAGACGCTCCGTGAAAACACCTCGACTGATCCCGAACCAAACCCTAGGGATTGGTTCGGGTCCTGACCCCTCCATATGAGGCTTCGGCCCCTACTTAGGAGGGTCCATGGGTCGCGTCTGGGTAGTCCCAAACTGGAGGTGTTGGGATATACACCCTGGAAGACGATCCCATGGACCCCTGAAAACCACTGGTTGGTGGAGGAAAACACTCTTCCAGGGGGCCAGGACGTCAGGGTCTATGTGAGTTGACTCGGGAGTGTACCTTACAAGATACCCTGTGTTCCATTCGCACTGTCCCCCCAAATGCGAAGAAGAGGAGCCATCCGTCTTTCCAACCCAAAAGACGTCAGGTCCATGGTCTATGTTTCTGTTTTTTTTGGCAAAGGAGGAGAGTTCAGCCAGTGTCGTGGACTTCTCGAAACAGATCTTCTGCAACCAGGCGCCCCGTCATCTCCGCCCATTCCATTGTCGAAATGATGTTCCCATAATGTGTCCCCCCAAATGTCCGAATCGGAAAGCAAAACCCAAAAAACGCCGTTCCCCGATCTTTTCATCCCAGCCACGACGTTCAGCCGCGGGTGCCACCACTGGCTCAGCAAAGGCCCGGTTCGGCGCGCCAAAGGCGGCGCCTGCAGCGGCCGCCTGCGAAGGGGGATCGCAGGATGGTGCAGGTGAAGAACGGTGCAAACGAACCTATAGCCTTCCGTTCCAGTATATTGAAAATGGTAGCAGAGCTGTTTTTTCTTCTATAATCCACAATGGTTGCTTGGGAAAGAGTATTAAATCAATGGTGGTTGGGTGATGGAAACAAATCATTTGGTTGGAGCCTCCCGGAACAAGAATCTGGAAAGAACAACGTGTTCCCTTCCATTGGGAGTGTTGGACGTTACGTCTTCGGTTGTTGGCAGGCAAGCACCGCGGTCCGCCCGCGTCGATCCGCGACCCGCCCCACCGAGGCGGTGGTGGGTCCTGCAAGCGCTTCCGCAGGCGGAACCAGCGGAGCTCCCAGGAACGATGGAGGAAGACACTCGTTGGAACGGTGGAGAGCCTGGTGTTTTTAGTTGAGATGTCTGACTATAGGGAAACAGTCAGATGAAGAGATCTGTATATTATGAAGTGGGGGCCCTGGGTCCCGAATCCTTCTTCTCAACAGGCCAAGCACCAAAACACATGCTTTGTCTCCAGGTCCAAAAATGGCAGGAACCAACTGATTTCAAGTGGGTTGGATTCTCAAAAGGGAACTTCTCTGCCTTCTTTGAGCCACCCATCCCCACGGCCTCCAGAAACTCGTCGGAGGAACCCAGATCGAAGAAACCGCCTGCGAGCCGCTTTGGCTTTGATGTCAGAAGCAAGGGATCCATCGGACACTTACAAACATCATCAAATACCTTGGAGAAAACAAAAAACACACATCTTGGGTGGTGAACGGATACCCCTTAACTCACCTCTAAGGAGCTATAATTAGACACCTCTTAGGGGGCCCTGGTTTGCAATATGTTTTCTGAGTAGACGCTTCCCAAAACGCCGGCCATCTTGGTGAACGCCGGCCATACGCCACCATGGAGCGTCCCAGGGAAAAAGGGAGACCGACTCCCACCACACACCTCCGTGAAGGAAAACCTCAGAGTCTCGAAACGCGCCGGAGGTGTGAGCTTTGGAGGCACGCATCGCCTGGAAACAACTTGCCAACTTGCAGTTTGACAACTCGTTGCATCTTGCGCTGCGGATTTTGAAAATGTCCAAGACTTCCCCACTGCTTCGCACAGGTTCTCTTCGCATGTCGTGCGCCTTCGAGAGCCTCGTCGCGGAAGTCGAAGCGCTCGAAGGGCGGGAGGTCCTGTCGGCGGTCTCCGACCGCGGAGAGACGGCTGAGACGGGGCAGGTCAAGGGTCCGGAAGGTCAGGTCGGACCTTCACCGGGGGTTTGGAACAGAAAGACTAGCACCTTCACCACGAGAAAAATTTGACCTTCAGCACGAGGGCTGCGAATAAAACACCACGAGCAGGTGGCCGAAAAAAACGTTGACACCTTCCCCCGGTTCAAAAGTCCGACTTTGGACTCCACAGGGACCTTTTAACTTGCTGTGAAGGAAAGCCATTTGGACGGGTTTGGATGATCCAACTGCAACTTGTGTTGTTGACCCCATCAAGGGGGGGATCCTCTTCCGGTGTTTGAAGGCCATTCCCTCCCCTCAACCCGCCTTGGGGTGGATACCCACCACACACGTTGAACTTCCCAAGGGGTGTAGTCAGTGTCTCCGAGATGTTTTAATATGTTCTAATTGTTTAGTTGTGGAAGCAAGTCAAATCGAAACCCCAGGTTGTGATGGCGCCATGTCCACTTAATCAAATGGCGCCGGATCGACACCCGATGGCGCCAAGTCAACTAGGACCTCCTTTCATCAACCATGGCTAAGGTTTGCATGACCTTTCTTAGACGACATGTGTTGAAATTGGAGTCACATTTTCTGACTGGCTTGACATCTCACGGCCACTCACGTTCTATGGAATGCGGTTCACCACCAGTGCCTTTCAAGACCACGCCATCCACTTCCACGCGATGTGTTCGTCAGTGTGTGCACCGTCACGGAAGACAATGAGCAGCCCATGATCAACGGCATTTTACCTCAAGCAGTGTGGTCGTCACTAGGGTTCTGTCATGTTCTGTCTGATCGAGGTGCTCCATTGGCGTGTCCGGCCAACTCGCTGCTATTTGCTGTACATTCACCAACAGAGGTGGGGTCAGAACCCGAACGTTCGACTATCCCAGTTTGGTACCCCAGGTGACGCGTCCGAACGTTCAGGTCACTTGACCTCTCTTGGCAATTCATTCACCTCGAACTCGTCCAACTGCATTTCGACTTCACAGGCTCCAAATGGCTCCCAAAGTCTGGTGGGCTGGTCTGGGGTGCTTTCCTCGACTACGCTCTCGTTGTGGTGCCGTGCGCATGTTCGGACTTGGTGCTCACTTTTCCTGGCAGGCATGAGGGAAACCTCATGTTTGGGAGGTCAAGACCTCTAGACTTCTCCCTACTGCTCCCTAGACCTCTACACCTCTCAAACTCTAGACCTCAAGAACCTTGTCTCAAACCATCTAGATCTGGACCTCAGCGTGAGGTTGGCCAACTTGTCCGAAGATCAATATTGACCCCTCAAGCCTTTAACGAACATCTGAGCGCAGGGTTGCTTCCTCCCACGTTTCACCTCTGCATGCGTTTGACCTTGGCTTCACTTCTTTTCGTTCCTTTCTTTTCAGCAACGAGATCTTCAGGGCATTGAATTTTCCGGCGCTTTGGACAAGTGCTGGGCTACGTGCCCGAACTTTTGATCTATATAAGCTTCATGCGAGTGTCATGCAGAGGAATTGGAGACGATTTTTCTCATATTGGAGCAAGACACCTGCGAGGAGCAAAACCTCATGGTTGGATTATGATTGAGCTCTCTGGCTGTATTGTCTGCTTGAAGAACGATACGATATGTGTTGCTCAACTCGGTCAAAAGCCGATGCAAGCGGTTCACAGCTGCTGTCGTTCATCGTGTCCGGGTAAGCACGAACCGGGTGAAGTAACCATAACAGAGTGTGAGGCAGAACGATGGAAGCTTCGGCCTCTGGAAGGTTGCGAAATCCTTCCCCCTCAATGTCCCATCGCGGGGGATGCACACCTTGGATCCATCCCATCTTGCATGCAAATGGTCCCGGAGCCCCTCATCCTGGAGCTGCCACTGCATCTATATAGTATTCAAGGCGATCAGCATACTGGGCCTTCAAGTGCTGCCAATAAAAACACTGCTGCGCCCATCGAGCGTGCAAATGATGATCTAGTGTCCGAATCATAGCGTTGTGCCGCAGACATGTTTGACATTGTGCACAATACCAGGTGGCCCGAATGTGGAGGAAGCTATATTCCGCCAGCCATACAATTCGACATTAATTATATTCACCAGGACTGTCTGGCCTTAAAAAGAAAGAAAGCAACCACTATGACCCAGGTGCTCTCCAAAATGTTGGAAACGATGCTGCTTTTCGCAAATTGCGCTGAAGTTGGTAATTCTCGTAATACCCCTTCATGGTAGCAGGCGGCAGCCATCGCTCTTCAAACTCGCGGTGCGAACTTTCCACCTGCTCTTGTTGACTGGGGTCTTCCCACTGTTCTCCCACAAAAAGGTGACCTGCAGGTGATCCACCAAACTCACTGTTGGGTAGGAGAGTTTGAAGCTCGAACTGCCACTCCTGGGTAGGAAGAGGACATCATAGACTCATAGACTGCCATTTGGGCTTAAAATGGCTTAAATAGGACCCAACCAGGTGACTGACAAATGCTTCCTATTTCGCCACCTCCGCCGTCGACCCGCCTCCAGGCCATTGCCCGCCAGCCGCTGTCGACCCTTGCCGTCCGTCCAGGACATGGCACCCAAGTCCTGGCCGTGGCACGTGCTGCATAGCGCTCGTGCGGTGGTGGGGACGAGGTCTGAAATGGGCCAAAACGAGGAGGAAGAGAGTGCGAAAACGAGTGTGGTGGAAGAGTAAGACGAAAAAGCCCATGAAATGAGGCTGGCGGTGAGCCGTCAGCTGACCAGCTGACCCCCCTTTTCTTTGAAGAGTTGATACCCTTTGGGTCCAAGATGGTCCAAGCGCCCACTGTCCTTACCGGGCACCAGCAAAAAACCGTTTGGCCATTTAGATGGATGGGGTGGAAATGCTTGGATAGGATGAAGACTTCGACTTCTGCTACACCAGGTCCAGGTTCCGAACACACACCCCATTCTTCACCAAGAGACGACCGTTACTCATCGGCACAGGGAGTTCCAGAAACGATCCCATGACAAGGAAGCTTAAGCTGGACCCCCCAGCTTCAAACAAAGGGATGCTTCCTCCGTGCTTTTTCTCATGTTCGGCTCGGTACGACGGTGGACGAACTGGACCCGACACCGACCCCATCATCCAGTCCTCATGACGCTTATCGCGTCGCTTCGTTGTGTCCGACCGGTCCCGTGTCGTTTTCGGGTGACGTGGATCCAAATCATCAGGATCAGCACGCGCGCTTTTGAAGAAGATCAGGTTGCTGCTGCATTTGAATGGGGAGACAGACACCTCTGAGGTGTCTTTCGCCCCATTTTTTTTCGGTCGGTTTGGTCCATGGGTCCTTTTTGCAGGGGGGTTCGGGACGTCTCGTGGGAGGTCCTCCCAATCTACTCCCCCTTGGCCAACTCTGTTTGCTTCGCACCGCTGGAGGAGGAGGACCTATGACGCCTGGTTTTTTTGTGTGGTGCCTTCTTTTGGACAATGAGTCATGTGACCACAAACCATATACCTATAGCCTTGGAATACCTCGATCATCCTCAATCTTTGACCTCTCAAAACAATCGTGCCGGAGTCGCTGCAAGACAAAGGGCCAAGCGTAGACTTTTCTTTCGCTTCAACACAACAAGTTGGTCACAAGGACGACTGCGCAGCCCAGCCCAGCGCGCACGTGGCTGATGGAGGACAACATGAAGACTGGGGAATTTGTAAAAGAGTGCAGGTTAATCTTCCTGTAACAAACCATAACCCCTGTTTTGGTAATTATTTCAACCCCTGTTTGGTATTTCAACCCTGTGGTCATTTTCCTGTTGGTGGATTTCACCGCCTGTTTGGTCTTACAGATGCAACATGACCTTTCCAGGGCCCCACTTTCTGTCCACTTCCGGACTGTTGACTGAGACGGCCGAGCGGCGCACGTGCGGTCCAGGCTTTCCTTTGTACAAAGAGAAAAGCGGAAACTGAGAGAGGTGAACACCGTAGAGGAGAGAGAGAACAGGTTCGTTTCCTTAAAGCAATGGAGATGAGAACAGATTTCTTGGGGAGTATGGAGAGTTCAAATGAAACACTGATATAAAGCCTGTTTTCGCCCTATCAATCACCAACCTGCAAGCTCTGCACTGTCAGTACATCGCGCTCGCCGCAGCCGTAAAGGCTCCACACACCGCTGCGCTGGCCGAAGGGCCTAACCTGGCCATTCTGGAGGGTCACGCTTGGTTTTTCTGGGGGCATGACTTCCAGGAGAAGAGGCGAGGCTTTGTGGGGTGCTAGAGAAGAACTAAGACACCAAGAACAACCACAATGAACCTGAACACAGCTGAGCTTAGCTGTGCAGATTACATGCTCCATCATGATCCTGCTCCTGTGTTTTTTGGCAACTGCCATGAGCTGCTGAGACAAACATCTTTCCGTTGATGACGTTCCCCGTTGCAGCTGGGCCATTTGCGTTCCCCCATGTCAAGTGTTCAATCTGCGATGGCCTCCCTTAAACGGATGGACATGTTGACCTGGCAACATGATGGTTGTATTTCAAACGTCGGCTTGGAATGCCGCAAAAGGAGGCGGAACCCAGTCCAAAAGCATGGGAAAAGCATCGAGTTAGGGCAATGAATGCATGCAGTTGAAAAAGAATGAAAAAGAACACATTTCAAGAACTCACATTGGACCTTCCTGTTTTGTCTGCCCTGATCCGAGCAAAAAAATCGGCAGCAAAGTTGCAGGAAAAATATCTGGATCATTCTGGATCAAGCTGCTTTAGATGCGATCCCTGCAACAACATGAATCTCCCAAACTCACCAGGTTGTATACAATGGAGAAATAATGTTTTCTATTGGGTTCTCAATGAACGCATTTGGATGCAATTGGGAGGTGTGTGTGTGTGTAACACTAGGTATGATGGCTCAAGGTTTGGTAGCAATGAACAACGTGACCACGAGAAACAACGAACATGTTCCTCTTCCTTGCTCTCAACTTCAAACGACCTGGCTGATGGCCAGGTCTCTCCAAGTAGAGACGAGTTCGGTTCAGCTCTGGTTCCGCTCCATTGCGTTCCTACCAGAAACCAAGATATTCAGAGCTCCGTGTTGGATTCAGAGCACAAAGTCTAGCAAGACTTGCAGTTGTTTTCATGCTGCATGCATGCAGCTTGTGTATGTCGTTTCCCACGTGTCAACAGGGTAAGCCACTTAAATACAGTGGTTTCAGAGGCTCGATGGCATAGACCCCATGATGTCCTGAAAAGGATGGGGGTCCATATATGAACCACCAAACTTGAGGTCTGTGCCATCTACTCTCTCCGTCCATGTATAGTTGTGTGGTGCAACAGGTTGACTCACCGTGTCCTCTTCCCACAATGGCCCCAACCTCTGGGATCGTAACTGCCACATCAAACTCTGACCCTACACCTCCAGTCGTACCTCCAAACCGGTTCGGTATGACTGGACCTTCCAGTACCACCCACCCCAGTCAAACCCCTTCGAAACGCTTCGGTACGACTGGAGGCCAAACGGGTGAGTGGTCTTCAAACCGTGTCTGAAAACCGCGATCCGCTGCGAGCCACCGAGCTTGCAGCGGACCGGACCGTTATGCAGCGAGTCAGTCCCACGACCAGTGAAACAAGGGGAATGACCCTGGTTTTGTAGTGCAAGATCCTTAGTTTCGGTCATGCCTCTAAAATTCGTGGGCCAGGAAGCCAAAAAAGGGACATTCCTTCTTGCTCCCCAGTCACCGACCCTACCCAGAAAAACCACAGGCCATCACCCAACCGCACTCCAACTCCAAGACCCAAATTCACCCACCCACAGACCCTGTCATCCACCACTCACTCACTCCCTTCCGTCTCTTCCCGCCGCCTCTCGCGCGCAGCCGCTGCAGAAACGCCGCCACCGCGGCTGTGGCCTCCTTCGGCGGCGGAAGCAGCTCGTGGCCGTGGCCTTCGGCGCCGTGCCGCGGAGCGACGTGCCGTGCCACTCGGGTGTCGATTGAGGCGCTGGGATTGGCGGCGCAGCTCCAGGTGACCCCTCTGAGAAGGGTCAAAGTTTTATTCGGAAACTCAAAAGTGATCTTCGGAAACTTTACGGTTTTCTTCGGAAACTAATCTTCGGAAACTTGACGGTTCTCTTCGGAAACTATTCTTCGGAAACTTTACGGTTTTCTTCGGAAATTTTAAAGTTTTCTTCGGAAACCAATCTTCGGAAATTTGACGGTTCTCTTCGGAAACTATTCTTCGGAAACTTTACGGTTTTCTTCGGAAACTAATCTTCGGCAACTAAAAGGTGATCTTCGGAAATTGTCCGGTTTTCTTCGGAAACTAATCTTCGGCAACTAAACGGTTTTCTTCGGAAATTTTTCTGTGGAAACTAATTTTGGGCCACTCAAAAGTTGATCTCCTCAAACGTCGTGTGTGGGAAACTTGACCGCGGTATTGAGACACTGTTCACCTTTGTATTTGGAAAAGTAGACTGTGAGAAAGATGGGCGAACGAGTGGACCGAATCACCTGTGCTGGAGACTACGCACATGCGGCATCATGTGAAGGAGCGGAATCGTTCAACCTCTGCTGGATCGGATGTCTGGTAGGTCTTACACCATCTCTTCCGCACAATACCTGCCCACGAAGCTCCGGACAAAAGATGTCTTTGCCTAATCTCTCTTTCTCTGAAAAAATCGCTGCCCATCCCTTCACTTGCAGAAACAAATTGGAAGAAAGAAGCAGGGCACCGTATCGTGCTATCTCTCCGTTCAAACAAGAGCACAGGAGGGAACGGGAACCGTATGAATAGATGAACAAGAGGGTATGCGAAATATTTGGTGAGACTATTCATATGAGGATTGTATTCATATACCTATATATACAGATATAGTTATACATATAACATATATATATATATGTATAACAAGGGTAAAGAAGCATCTTCTTCCACGACCGATCCGTTGCTGTTCTCTTCGATTGTCATCCAGGACCTTTTCGCTTTCGCTGCTCGGTCTATATCAACGGCCTCCTCGGAAAAACCTATTTTGCAACGAGGAGACATCTTTCCTAAAATAGACAGATGTCTTCTGGAGATCATCCGGCATGCAGGCTCTGGAATACCAACACTTTGGTTTCCCAGCAGGGTCGCGTCGAAAAAAGTCCGAACAAACCAAACTCGGAGAGCCTCTTCGAGGACCCAATTTCCAAAGCCAAGGCTTCAAGGCTCGAGCGCTGCTATGAGAAGTAGACGGGCACATGCCAAATTTGAACTGCCTCGCTTGCTTTGGCGCATGCATAGACAGCTCTGGAAAGGTGCAAGCTGGAGCGTTCGCGTTCAAGACTACAGAGTCTACAGAGTCTGCTATAGGGACATCATCTTGGAAGGAGTACCCGCCTGCCACACTGGACCAGCTCGTGCTGGAATACTTCGAACACAACGCAGGCTGGCGAGGCGGAAAGAAGGTTAGCTCTGCACCCTGCGGTTTGAGACGGAAACTGTCCTCCCGGCGTGCTCTGGACCTGCTGAGGCACAGGTGCTGTCAGCCTCCTGGCGCAAGCTTTCGTCATCACTGCTGCCCACGCTGATGGCGGAGGAAAGCATCACACGCGTGGTCCCGTTTGTTTGCAGGTGGAGGTGCCCAACAAAAGC